CTGTAAGATGCTGGCTATGTTGTTATTGGTTTAGTTGAAGAATAATAGTCATTAAATGACGTTAAGCGACCAGACAAAAGAGGTAAATGCAAGTCAGTTTTGATTTTCCAAATGACTGATCGGATCGAAACGTTCGGCCTCTGTTAACATGTCGCTTCCTGGTGTGGATACTTTGATGACATTTGAAGATTAACTTGAAATAATAGTGGATGAAAAATCATAATTGACTTTTTAAAACCTGCTAATTGATACCTGTTATGGCCAACAGCAACAGCATAAACGAGAGCTGTCTGAAAGAACCAACCTCCTTTACCTACCGACCTGGGAAGGATCGTTTCAACTATAGGTGCCGCTTCACGAAGGGCACTTAGAACAAACTACAGACTTTCATCAACAGCTGTCTTTGCTCAATACTTTACTCAAGATCAGATAGCCGGCCAGAAAAGATTAGCAACAGGGATCTCTGCGAACGAACCAACCAACCCAACAGGAACCAATTGTGCAACACTTGTGCAGGTAGAAATGGAGGTGGATTGGTCATACTCTAAGAAAACTATCAAGGAATATCACACGCCAGGCTGTTTATCAAGTGGAAACCAATAGGGAAGAGTCGAGTTGGTCATCACCGCGACGGTGACATAGAAGGGGTCATGCGAAAAGGAGATGAATGCAAGTGGGCAGACGTGGAGTCACGTTAAAAGGTTGACGGGGAATCGAACGCAATGGAGACATGCGGCCCAAGCCCTGTGTTCCTCTAGGAACTAAAGAAAACAATAATAATATCTCTTGAGAAAAGACGTTGCTCTAGTGACTCAAGTAGTCGATTGGATGACACTTTAGCATTTGAAACAAACAGTACTGCGTTTAATTCTCAATGTCAACTGCATTACTCACTGGGAATTCTAACACATCCAGATGATGAGTCCCAGCTAGGCTGAAGCGTAGATCCTGGACTCCACTGCTGGTCGCCGTTCAACAAATTACTTCAAAAACTTGTCATTAAATTGTAAACTGAAATATATGGATTACTTAATGGAATAATTCTCGCTTACGATAAAGTCTGCGCCTAATCTTCCCCTTAACAGTAACTCCAAATCTCACAAAATTACATATTACTCATAATTAGTTAGTTACATGAATGTTTCCTTAAAAATCATTCTGATGATTCTTGATGGCAGGTTTTACTCTGTAATTTCATCGTTGTAACAATTAACTAGCCTTACTAAACTCATTGTGTTATGATTGATACCTGTTCAATCGATAGTTTCCATGACCTATAAGTAATGACAATAAAAACTAATACGAAAAAGAATCAGTTACTTAGGTAACGTTTTCCAAGAAGAAATAGAATTCAATAGAATAAAGGCAGAAGTTAATTTAGAGAAAAGGTTTTGTAACTTATCTGACTATTATATCTGAGCTAATGACAGAGGGTGTTAGACAGCATACAGGAAGATGTAGAAAAGCGTCACAGCCTTGTCACATGCGTACTTATTAAAACAAAACTTAAAACACATTAAAGACGGTGAACAAGTTAACAAACAGTTTATCTAGTTAATATTTAGTTAATTTAATTGGTGGATGGTGACTAGCAGTGGAATCCAGGACAACGCGCATTTCGTCCTGTTTGGGACTCGTCACCTGTTGGATGTACCTGCATTCCCCAGTGAGTCATGATTTTCCCACCCCTGAGGCTCGAACCCAGTGCCTATAATTTCAAATGCTGAAGCGTCATCCACTAGACCACTTGGGCCCCGAGAGCCACTCTTTGTGCAACAGTTCATATTAAATACTTAATTGAATTTTAGATTTTCCTGTCGGCCCGTTCCATCCAATCAATCGACAGGAAAATCTAAAATTCAAATAAATATTTAGTTAGTTCAGTTTATTCTACTTATTTAAGCCATAAATGCATTTTGATGCACTACACAATTGTTGTTTCAGCTACTATGGCTACAGCCACTAAGTTAATGAGCCACTCACACTATCAGCTCTTATGTTTCAAGTGCCTTTGCATATTATTCGTTTTTACTTGCAATTTTTTATGGATGTTTTGAACTTTAAAGTCTTAACTACGGGCTAAAGGGTTGAGTATATTAAAGCGGGGATCTGGATGCAAGAAAGACATTCATTATTCTGAAATCAATGTGGGAAATTAATACACTCGGTATGAAGAATAACAGCTTAATTTGTCAATACTAATGTCATGTCAGTCACTGGTTCAATGAGTCACAAGAAGCATTACAAACAGACTACACATTTTCATCAACAGCTTGGTTTAATGCTAAATATCAGATGGTCGGCCAGAAAAAATAAGCAACAAGGAACTCTTAAACCAAAAAGCAACCAGCCAAGAATTTATTAGTGAACAAATATACTGAAGAAAATTGAAATGGGTGGAATACACATTGAGGAGACCACAAAGTAAAATCCCGCGTCTGGTCATAGGGCGAGACCTGCTCCATCCTCCTTGATGGTTGTAAGACAAGGCTATTGAGAGTGGAAGACGTGAAAAGCCCAGTTAGCTGTCTTTGATCATAGGTGCCTGAGCTCTATCTCCCGTGTGAAGTGGTATAATAAGGTGAGCAATATTGAGGTCAGGCGTCGAGTGCTAGGTAAGGAGGGGAAATCAATAGATGAGGCTGTGAAATTACATCGACTGAGATGGTTAGGACATGTGTTACGTATGCCTAGTCATCGATTTCCTCGGCGGGCAATGTTAGCTGACTGACATAGGATCACTTGAGAAAAGGACTAGTGGTGGTCAAACCGACACATGGCATCAGTCAATGGAATCAACAACAGGTAGTTCAAGCCAGCCGCTTAGGAAGGTGTAGACTTCCTGACTGGTTGGGGTCCTCGAGACGGTAAAACCAATGGTTGGAAACAGTCAGCGACACGGCTCAAAATCGTTCTCAATGACAGTGCAGATGCATACACTCCTTGTGACTTGTGATTTCCAATGAAAATGTTTTGTTCTTCGTTATTACTATTCCTTTGTCTCACACCTCTGTCTACTGTTTGTATTATCCATTTCTTCTACTTTCTTCTCCCACTTTGTGTGCTAGAAGGAGGGAGTGTGGCGACTTGAACTGCCGCACATATGTGCAAAGTTCTATGTCAAAAACAGACAGACAGACAGACAAAAATGGAAAATGAAGAGTTGAGGTATTCAAGGTTAATATGGATGAGATCGAGTGAAAAGAAAGCCAAAACTTGGGAGTAATCATCGAACCAGCTAAACAAAACACTGAAAGGAGCACACTCGAATTGCAATATGCTGCTCAAACCCTATATTCCACTAGGAATTTCGAAAGAATGGTGATAATAATATCGTTTTCGTGATTTTTCATTCATAGACAGGGTGCCAATCGATCGGGAAAATCGAGACCACAATTTTATGCGACTATATACTAAATAAATTCGTTGAAATGAGTTTCTTCTTTCTCTTAATGATACAATGGGAATTATTTTTTTTTATTTTTATTTCCTAGTGTACTTCATATTTCTCCCTTTCAAGTTTATTTGGTCCGTAGTACGATCTAGTAGACTGTGGGTAATTCAAACCTTAATTTACTCACGAATACCCCTCTGATTGCTAATAATAATAGTAACCTGAACCACAACAATAACAGTAATGATAATATCACTGACAAGTGAATACAAGAAGAAAAGACAGATCACTGACTATAGAGAGTACTTACCGTCTAAAGAAAACACTCAAAACAGATGATAGTGATGTTGTATATGTAGATTTTAAATAACACTGAAAAAAAAACACTAAATTCACCAATAAGTTTGAAACGCAAGCAGTCTTTGACTGGAAACTAGTTACTAACTAGTGTAATATGTCTAGTCCCATCTTTGGAGTAGACTGAATTATATCTCAGTCATGTTTGCAATGTGGCCAGCATTCTATTCGGCTTCCGGCCGATTGCCTCCAACCACCTAACATCAACAATTCAAAGTGCACGGTGCATGGTGAGCCATCTGGCATGGGAGCCATATTGCAAAGTTGACTGACAGAATTCACTCTGCACTAAACAAAGGACTAGACACATTACATAGTTACTGAACAGTGTCCAATATACACCTACAGGAGGTCAGTGATGTGCCCGAATAACTCTGTAGTGACGTCTCTGACTGCAGCACTGACTGATGGGGGTTAGAATCTCAGAAGTGACATGAGTTCCTTCAAAGATGCAGATATGCCTTGGTGACTAGTGAATGCCAGATAGCATGAAATCTAGATGAAGCGAGGCTTCCTGGTAAATGCCTCCAACCATCTAATATCAACGTTAGCAGTCAGTTAAAGTCTAGTCTTCACAAGCAGTAGACAGTATAAAAGATCCAATTACTGGGTGATAACTGCAAAATAGAATTATTTTAAGTTTTTAAAGGCTGTCAATATGCTAATGTAAACAAAAAACTTGGGGTTTACAACATAGTCATGTTAAATCAATAACTAATATCCGGAACAATTCGAGCACTGAGTTTTTTTGTATAGCTATGAAGTCGAAAAAATGATTTCTCTTAAAGTTTCACTCCGTTAACTGCAGCTTTATCACGAAGAGTGTAAAGCTCATATTTTCCTCAAATGACTAGCAAAAGTAAGTACGTCACCTTAATATTAATACTTAATCAGGAGCATACTCAGTCCATTCAGAAGATATTCTGTGTTTCCCACGGTATGCCAACATACACTGGATATCTGACATATATAGTAAATGTGGCTGATCGGAGAACACTCAAGAACTCCCTCCCACTTCTCTGTTCAGAACACTAAGAGCTGACTTCTAAAGCTGTCCAACATGCACCTAGACTGTTCCAATACCTCGGATTGAATACTGACTCAGATATGAAGGGAATATAGTCCAGCAACATGTGCGAAGACGTCAGTGCTATTTTCCATCCCAGTCACTTTAACTAATGTAAGCAAAAACTAGAACAAGGTGGAACAAAAAACACTGGGAAACTTTCTCCTCTGTACTTTTCGATACCTTCTATCGGTGTTGAAATATTCGGTGCAAATCCGCCTTCATCACCAACATTACAAGCATTTATACCATATTTCTTTTGAATAATTCTACGTAAATGATGATAAGTTTCACTGCCCATACGTAGAGCTTCAGCAAAAGATGTTGCGCCCACAGGGAATATCATAAACTCTTGAAATGCCAATTTATTTCCAGCATGTTTCCCACCGTTTAAAACATTAAATGCGGGTACTGGTAAAGTGAATGAAACATTACCAGCTAAATCTGCAATATAACGGTATACTGGAAGGTTCTAAAAAGACAAAAACAAGAACAGAACAGAAAATGTACATATTATATTATATATATATATATATATATATATACTGATGTATATTATGGAAGTATTCCCTGCAATTCTGATTTAATCAATTCACTAGGAACTTCTAACCTCATCTAGATTACTAACCTACTGTAGACCAGAAAACGTGAAGGTTAAGCATGAAGCTAGCAACTCTACCCGTAAACAGCACTTCTGTTGAGTATTCAAACCTTGTCTGAGGCTGTCAAGACTACATTTATTGCAAAAGAAATGAAAGCATACGGTATAGAAGTGATAGGCATCTGTGAAAGCATGTAGAATGGAATTAGAAGAGATTTATCAGTTTGTCAAGAGAATTCGTTAATCAAGTGTTGGTTTGCAAGGACTAGATTCAATCGGTTATAGGGTTTCATCGTCAGCTGATATTGCTTAGAGGACCACTGGAAAAACAAGGAGTACAGGGCAGCTGTTTCGTCCAAGTTTCGTCCTAGTTTGGGACTCATCATCAGTACGTGCCCACCGGGGTTCAAAACCAGGACTTTCCACTTACAAGTTAACCTCATTGGCCGTTGAGACACTGAGAGCCGTCCCAATGATCTATGAATTCCAACTTCCAGAATGTCCTATGTTTCCACCCTAGTGGGCGCGTCCTGATGAAGAGTCTCAAACTAGGACGAAACAGTTGTCAAGCACTCCTCAGTTTTCCAATGGTGTTAGCTAGTAACCAGCCCGGTGGGTCGGTAGCACAGCGGTCAGGACTCTCACCGGTTATGCACATGAGCCCGGGTTCGACCGCCTGCTGATGCACACCTGATATCAATGATAGGCCTGCAAAATTCAGAGTTACCGATATCACATGCTGAAAATTTCATACTTGTACCAAAAATACGGTGTGCAATCAAGCTATAACCATAAATTAAAAAATAAATAGAAAATAAAATCCTTGCAACCAACATGACTGTTTATTTATAGTTTGAATTCTCTAGTGGATCTACACACTATATATACTTGTCACTGCTGTAGCAGTTGAATCTGACATTTATGCCTGTCTCAGTTCGGGGGATAATTTCAAGTAATCATTTGGTTATAGTGTCATGGCTGGAGGTGCATTCCAGTCAAGTTAATATAATAACACGATGTTATAACAGAAGTGCATATATAACTTGATGCTAAAAGATACCAAAGTAAATGAGGAAAACAATGTAGATACTATGGAAAATCTAAATGGTGGAATCATATTGATGAATATCACTTATTGTTGTTTGTTTTCAATGAAGGATGTCATTTAGGCAGTTCATCCCTTTTAAAACTAGCGGTGATCAACTTAATCGAGTTTATGAATTTCCTATTATTTAATTTTATCAGAATGCGCCCACATCCGGATGATGAGTCATCGGTAGGGAGAAACATGCTGCATGAATTTCACGGCTAGCCACTCTCACCATTTATGACACCATAAGAGTGACATATTAGCCAGGAGATACACACACTCTATTCATTTATATTCATATTTCAGGTTTTCTAGGGGAATCTTGATAAATTCCAACATGCAAGGTTCGATATTGGTTAGATAATCAATGGAAAATAATGGAGCATTGAACTCTTATTTCATCCTAGTTTGGGACTCTTCAAATTTACTCACCTCTAATCTCATCAAGGATCGAATCTAAGACTATAAGGTAGAGAGATGACCCCATTAACTCCATTGCTTAATCTCAAATGCATGTGTGGTAGTCACTTAAGTGTATAAGGTGAAGGTACATTGTGATTTAATAATAATATATATTCTATAACATACCTTTTCTGCAGCTCCAGCTTTTAGTATAGCCAAAGAAACAGCCAAAATAGCATTAGCACCTAAATGAGCTGAAAAAATCAATAATACAAATACATAAAATGAAAGTTCATTAAATCAAACTGAAATACGATATTTCTGTTATTTATTATTGTATTGCAAGTTATGAATTCATCAAACATGTCTCATAATTCACTATAAAAATGATTGATCGCTAAAATCACCCTGTTAGAATACTCGAATTATGCTAAAACAAACACGGTCGAATCCTACTTCGTAGAAAATTCTATATATTTGGATTTGGTTCTACTACATGAAGCACATCTTTAGCCAGTGTTGAAAAATAATAATTCAAATCTACCTGTACGGTTTCGAATTCTGGTAACTTTCTAGAAAATTATATATATATATATATATATATATATATATATATATATATATATATATATATATATATATATATATATATATATATATATATATATATATATATAGACAATATTCTCGGTAGAATCGATCGGGAGGTAATTTGGAAACTACTTCGCTACAACGGGATGCCACCGACAATTATACATCTCATCCAACAGTTAAACGACAATGCTGCATGCCAAGTAATCCACGACAGGAAACTTACGGAATCCTTCTAAGTGAAGACGGGAGTAAGACAAGGCTGCCTACTATCACCAATGATCTTCCGGATTGCAGTGGATTGAATAATGAGACAGACAGTGGGCAACGAGGAAACAGGCATTAAATGAACTCACACAAAGACAAACTTGGAGGATCTGGACTTCGCCGATGATATATGTCTGATTTCTCACAAACTGGAAGATATGCAAGTGAAAAGCAACAAGTTGGCAGAAGAAACGTCCAGAGAAAATAGGACTTCAGGTGAACATAGAGAAAACAGAGGTGATGAAGATTCCTGTCCAACACCAACAGCAACAACAACAGACAACAATCAGCCAGCATAAATGGGAAGAACCTGAAAGAAACAACCTCCTTTACCTACCAACCTACCTGGGAAGCATCGTTTCAACTACAGACGGACGGAACTGATGAGGATATCTAAGCAAGAATCGGAAAAGCAAGACAAGCTTTCATTACTCTTAAGTCTGTGTGGAAGTCAACAGCACTCAGCATCGAAAATAACATCCGGATCTTCAACTTCAGTTTGAAGTCAGTGCTACTTACTACACGGATCAGAGACTTGGCCAGCGCCTCATAAAGAGCATCTCAAACAAACTACAGACCTTCATTAACAGCTGCCTTCGCTCAGTACTTCGCTGAAGATCAGATGGCCAGAAAAGATTATCAATAGGGATCTCTGGCAATGACCAACCAGGAACCGATTGTGCGACAAATAGGCAGGAAGAAATGGAGATGGATTGGCCATACTCTAAGTAAACCATCAAGTGACATCACTAGACAAGCCATTGCTCGAGTGGAACCCGAAATGGAAGCGCAGAGTTGGTCGTCAGTGCAAGGGTGATATGGAGGAGGTCATGTGAAGAGGAGATGAAAGCATGTGGACAGACTTGGAGCCAGGCGAAAACTCCAGCAGAGAACCAAACGCATTGGAGAAGTGCGGCTGAAGCCCTATGTTCCTCTAGGAATTAAAGGAAATTATATATACATATATCAGAAATAAGTTGTACTTGATTTGGTTTATTGTCAGTTTCAAGAGTCAACACATAAGTCTGTATCTTTTCATCTATTTGGTTACGTAATAAGCCCCATCACTGACAGTTGTCGAGATGAATTCTCCTCAACTCTTGATGTGAAGATATTATTGTTCCGCTGGATTCCAAGTGGAACTTAGGGATTTCAACAGCACGTCTCCATTTCGTTCTTTTTTCTACATTCCTTTTTAACTGACTCCGCAGTTTCCCATAAGTTTTCATCTTTCTATAAAACAATTTCTTCCATGTGACCCTCGAACAAATACACAACTCATCGTTCCCCATTTGAGTTCCACTTGAGGGTCTGCCTGGTACGGTCTTCTGAAAGTTTGTACTAGCTGTCTCCATTTTTTACCGCATATTTATTGGGAAATAAGTTCTCCGTTGGTTCGTTGACAGGGTTCCCTGTTGCTTATCTTTCCATTTGACCTTCATTATCAAGGCAAAATAGTCACATGTTGGTGAAAACATCCTCAGCCTGTTAGAAATACTTTTGATGACTCATGCTTCGTATGTGGAAGTACTGACTGACTTGATATTAGCGCAAAAAACCGAATCCTGTTTCTTATGCTGTATGCTAGCGTGGCATGTGCTACTGATGAGGTATCCCAGTAGTATTCAAAGAGACTTTCATCGGCATAAAAATGTCAAATAGTGGAAAGAGCAAATGAACCAGCATTGCGGCAAAACATAGGGAACTCGAAAAGAAGATAAAGAAACACAGTACGAAGGAACAACAGAAGTAGCACAACACGGAAGATCTGTGCAAATGACAATTTTCACATAAGATGTACATAATTTCGCTATATAGATATACCAGATTTCATATAGACATTCCACTACCAAGTCTCCTGCCTTCTGTTGTCACAACAAGATTCTTCATCAGTACGCACCAATGTCCTTATAAGGAATCAAACTCAGAGCGAGTGTTGGACAAAATCAAATGCCAAGTGGGTTCTAACTTCTATCAAGCCACAACATATAGCACCACCACCAGCTAATGCCACTGGCGAGTGTCTATCTTCCTACGGAACTTGATGGATTCAGCTGGTCACGACTTTTCATCAGAACTTCAGGCAATCACCGATGAGCACTAGATTAATTTTCAGCGGTAGGTTTGAAGGGATTTGGTTGATTTCAATATCGAACACAAAAATGAACTCAGTTAGAAAACCATTGAAAATCAGGAAGCAATAGGCAGTTGTTGTGTCTTGGGTTTGATGCCTGGTGAAACCATTGGTATATAATATTTGAGAGTCCAAAACTAGGACAAAACATCTGTCCAGTACTCCCTGATCTTCAGTGGTTCTATAACTGAATTCAATTTATATTCAAAGCTGAAATCACTTAAAACCCAGCAAACCAACACTCAAAAATGCAACTTATTCATTATTGGAATAAACTGGTCTATGAGCACACCTTGTAACCAGAAGGTCCTGGCTTCGAACCCTGTTGGCGGGTGCGTACTGATGAAGAGTCCCAAACCAGGACGAAACATCTGTCCAGTACTCCCAGGTTTTCCAATGGTTTTCACACTAATGTCAGCTCATGATGAAATTCTGTAACCAATCAACCAAATCCCTACAAACCAACACTTGAAACTCACTTTTATTTGGTGTACCATCTAATTCTTTAACAATGAATTCATCAATAGCTTTTTGTTCTGTGACGCATAAATTCTTTTTAATTAATGCTGGTGCAATAATTTTATTCACATTGTTTACAGCTTTGAGTACACCTTTACCATGAAATTCGTGTCCATTATCACGTAATTCATTTGCTTCATAGATACCAGTTGATGCTCCACTTGGTGCAGCAGCACGAAATAAACCTTAAAAGGAAAAAAAATGATGAAGAAAAGAATTTAATGGAATCTCATCACCATCATTTTTCTGTTTTCTTATGGTACGTTGAGGATAATGACACATATTTGCTTTCGGTTGATAGTGACTAACAGTGAATTCCAGGCCATGGGAATTTTGTCCAATTTGGAACGTGCCAGATGGATGTAATTCAATTCCCAGTAGGTGATAATGCTTCCACTGAGACGCGAACCCTGCACCTATCATTTTAAATGTCAAAGCACTATACTCTAGGCTATATAATCATACATGGGGGAAATAAAAATTGATTTAAAGATAAATAATAACCTATACCTGTGGCCACTTGGGCCACATTGATGTTTCAGACGATGGGTACTGGGCTTGAATCTCAGTGGGAGCACTACCATTCACTAGGAGTGCAGGTGAGTCCAGATGATGTGTCCCAAATAGAACAAAATGCGCATCCTGAATTCTGCTGATAATTACCACGATCCAGGTAACTTCAATCTTCTCTCATTTAAAGTATTTCCATCATGTATATTAATTAACTTTAGAGACATTCTATAATATGGTCTGCGCCGTCCAGCTGTTAATAAGTTAGTTGAAAGGCAGTTGCAAATAATAGATTTTCCATTTATCAGGTTATGAGCCGTCCGTATTGTTTAAGGGAGCTGCCAATGTTAATTAATTGGCCAGGCTGAAGTAAGCAGAGCAAGCTTCCAAGCCGTAACAATAGGCTGAAAGTTGACTGCTTAAATCAGTTAGACACGCGTCTCCTATTCAAATGTTAGTCATGACTATTTATTTCAGTTCACCCACTCAAATATTTACTGAACAAAAAACTGTTTGTCAGTGGTTCATTAGTGTAGTGCTTGTCAACCGTACACGTGGTCCAGGTCCATTTTCCAACCAACATACCCCTTAACCTCGTTTAGCCTGCTGTAAGGCCTGGAAGAGAAGGGGTTTGGGTATGAAGTTAGCCAGTTAGTTAGGAACAGCACAAGCGTTACTGAAACTTCCGAACTCAAAGCAAGAAGCTTTATACTCTAGTGGGAAAGCAAAGGAGTGAAAAAGACTGAATGAGATACAATGAATACATTAGTTGGTGTATTGAGAATTCTTTAGTGGATTTACCATCTAGGTGCTAGTGAGTACTATAGAAGAGTCCTCGACTAAACTAAAACAATCGATTATTTAGTGCTTCATGGTTTCAGGCGATTCTCTTACTGACAAAGTCTACACTGGAAACAATTATTTGTTCATTTAAGCTGTAATGTTTTTCTTAAATAAGAAATGAGTGTTTTGACAGAATCTGACATAAACGTGAAATGATAATTCAACCTTTGGGTGCAATTAACCACAAACTGTTATTACTCCCTTGAGTTTCAAATGGAACATAGGACTTCAGCAGCACTTCATTTCATCCTATTATTCTTAGTCTTCTTCAACTATCTTTACGGCTGCCCATAAGCTTTCATGTCTTCGTTACACAGTCTCCTCCATGTCACCCACTGGACAAGTGCACAACTCTTTGCTTCCCCTGGGGTTCCACTCGAGAGTGTGTCTGTCGCATTATATCACTCAACAGTCTCTTAGGTACAGCACAGAGAAGTACTAACTTAATCTTGTTCTCTTACTAGATGCAGTGAATTTCCATAGTGACTTCAAATTAATGAAGGTTTATCTTGCTTTTTCGGTTCTATCTCCGACATCTTCATCCATTCCGCCTGCAGTTGATAGTATGCTGCCTGGATTAATGAAAGACGTCACTTCGTTCAAATTTCTCTCATCGATAGTGATTGGTGCTTTTATTGGTTGTTGATGATTGGTTAACTTCATCACCTCAACCTTTATATGTTCACTTGAAGTCCTATCTTTGCCACTTCTTCTTCGAATTTACTTGATATTAGGCATAATTCGCCTGCAAATTCCAGATTTTCTAGAGTCTTTTCATAGGGCCAATGTATTCCTCTTTTCTCTATCCCAATACACAGTCTTCCGTATAATCCGATCTATCACAACTAGGAATATAGTAGGTCTTACCTCCGTTTTCAATTAAAGGCCTATCTGAGTTTTCCATTGTGAATCAATTAACATGTGGCATCTTCATATAGCTGTTGAATGAGGTCGATAAAAGTTTGGTGCACTGCCTTGTATTGAATCAGTTGTCTAGTTTACAGGCCTGTTCTAGGGCCGACAAAATAAGGACTATTGGGCCTGGGCCTGGGCAATGCTGCCTCAGAAAACTAGCCTAATCGACACTGATATTCAAAGCACAGAAAAATATTGGATGGTTGGAATCTATCGACAGGAAGCCTTGCTTCATCTAGGTTTCATGCTAGTCACCAAGGGCGTATCTGCAACCTCGAAGAAACTCATTCCCTTCACCCTGAAGTTCAAATCCATGTCATTCAATGCCACCTGCTGTCAGAGACGTTACCACCACTGAGCTTTTCTGTAGGACTGTATTAGATACTTTTGATTGGACTAGTGTGGTGTGTCTACTCCTCTGTTTGGTGAAGAGTGAATTCTATCAGTCACGTTTGCAATGTGACCTCATGACTGAAAGAATTCAGTTTCCACCGAACAAAAGACTAGACACATTACACTATAGTTACTGACTATTGTGCAATCTAAAATACAGAAAAAATATTTTTTTTAAACTACAAATCGATATTTTTAACTAATTTAATCGTATGAATACAACTTTAACTCATTCATTTGATGAATAACCATTATCAGTCACATCTAAGTTTTCTATAACTTTTTTTGTCCCTAAATCACACTGACTGAAAAAGGCAGGATGAAATTCCTAAATTTCTTTCAATTGGGTTCTTCTTCTTGTTTGCATAAACCTATGTACTACTGATTGATTGAGATGAGTAGTCACATATCATTCATATCAATCAGTAGTGCTTGCTTGCTAGCCAGCCAGATCGTAGCTATCTGCACACCGGGTGCCCTTTTCTTTCGTTTAGGGCAGAAGTCATCAGTGGTGCGTCCGGTTGGATTCAGGCCAGAGAGGCAGCCGAATTATTGCAAACCACTTGATTTCTGGCCACCTACTTGCTGAACTGGTCATGCCATAAATTAGATGCACAATTCGCAACGCATACTTGCTTTTAATTGGTGGATGGTGACTAGCAGTGGAATCCAGGACAACGCGCATTTCGTCCTGTTTGGGACTCGTCATCTGTTGGATTACCTGCATTTCTCAGTGAGTGATGATTTCCCACCGATGCTTGCTTGAATCCAGTGTCCATAGTTTCAAACGCCAAAGCGTTATCCACTAGACCACTTAGGCCACGAGAGCATTGCCTTATTGATTATTACCACTAATGGTATAAAGCAGATCAAGTATTGTGATCTGCATAACTTAGTTTCCAAAGGAAACGGCAGTGAAAATTTCACCTTTTAAACTGTGTAGATAGCGGATTGCTTACCAGTTGGCAAATTTTAGAATTTGATCTTCCTGTGACCTACAACTCACAAATTCACAGATGTGAATCATCACACTCAATGAAAGCACACACAGAGGTAGGAAGTAGATGTTTACTGAGACTGTATTAGACAAGAATTTACAAGTCAAAGAATAAGTACCTAAAGAATAATGAGGATTTAGTGAATCTAGATGACAACAAAAGCCTGACACATCTCCACCATTGTTGATGAATTTGAATCCCTTCACCAAAAATCTCCAACTCAACTAGACAGTCTACGCCTCCTTTCTGAGTGGTTCATATTAGCAGTGAAAGAGTAAGTTAAATAATGACAAGTCTTCTTCTCAAGCGAATACTCTTCCCTTATTCCAGTCAGTTAGGATACAATACTTTATCATGTGAACTATTACAGACTGACCCATAACTTTTAGAGCAAATTATCTTTTGAAATGTATACCAACTAACAAAAGGTTTGTTAAACTCAAAAGTCACCCACTTTGTATCACAGATTCTAAAATAAAATTGTGGTGATGTGATACAGACACCGTATTCCAATGGAATATTATTCCCACATATTCCCACAGTTCAATAGTGCATTAGCAACAGAATTCTGTATATGTATTTGAACATTCTACTTAGGGTCGTTTGAAAAATTTGGGCATTGTGTATATGGTATTCATTATAATAGAGGTTTTTGTATTTCCCAATGAATGAAAAACAAAACGATATTGCTTTTACTGACGTTTCGCTATTTAATGCTAATAGCTTTATCAAAGTATTATTGAAGCGGAATTTACAAAATCTCAGCATATATATAACAAAGAGTTAAGAGGTGAGAAAATAGACTTAGGTCAAGTTAAAAGGACATATTGAAAGTCGAAATAACAATGAAGACCACTAAACCAAATAACAAAGGTAATAGTACTTCTGTTATGATATCAAAATAAAGTTTACTAACTTGATCATCGTTTGTCAATCTGGGTCATTTTTCGTTGTTAAATCGCCCAATTGGTAAAGATAATAGAAAACCAAGTGTAGATTGTTGGATTTGATCAGTGTGTAAAATTATAAAGGCAGAGGGTGTTTGCATAGTGAACTTGCTTATCACATTCGTGTTGATTTTCTCATTTCATGAGGGAGGGAGGTGTTGTAACCAGGTCAGATTCTGTTTTAGTCCATCATTCCTATTCGGGCAATTTGGATTCCACTTGATATAAAGTGCTTCTGATATTAGACATTCTTTGTGATTTCTGAAGCTTTTCTGGATTATTTTAATATTGTCAAAATCTATTTTGTGACCTGATTCCATAGCATGTAGACCTATAGCTGATGATTTTTCAAGTTTTTACAGTTCAACTGGATTCCTTGGTGGTCGAAGAGATGCTCTACGGTGTTCATTTCTTCTGATTTTGATTTCTCGAGATGTTTGTCCGATGTAGATCGATTCACATTCCGAGCATTTTATTTTATAGACACAATTAGATAGAGAATCTTTCGGGATTTGGTCTTTCATATGGACAAAGTTGTTTCACGGTGTGTCTGATGTTTTGAAGAAAACTCTAATGTCG